TGGCATTTTCAAAATCCACAGCCGCATCGTTCACAAAAACATCACTAATGCAGCCTTAAAAAAAGATTTTTCTGATTTTTATTCACCTGACAAAAGATTGGAAAAAGTCACCTTTAAAACTATGCGTTTCTTTTACATGGAACAGCGATTTTACAGCAGTAGCTCTAGTCGCAGGCAATCCACCAATGTATAAATATTGTTTTGTATGTATAGAGAATTTTTCTAGCCTTCCATCGTTCTCAACTGATTGCATCGGCTGATCATCAATCGTCAATGAACATTTCTTTCCTTGTACGATGATCTCAATTCGATGTGCTAAGCCATCGTTTACTGCAAGATATTATTTATTATTTGAGCAGGAGACCCCCTTTTACATGATATATCGGACAAATTCAAGAGGGAAGGTCTTTTGAGATGATATAATCCTGATAAGCCCCGGGCATACTATTTCCGTGATTTCTGCTAAGGCGCGCACATTATGTGATTACGTTGTCGGTGGAGCGCGGAAACTACCGTCTACACAGTAATGTCGATGCTGTTGTACGCATTGAAGTCAATTCTTTGCCCATCCACTTTTGATTACAGTCAACGAAGGCCTATCATATTCAGTGTATAAAATATTGAGAACAATGGTTAGCAATTTTATTATTGGAGCACAGCGCTGTGAAGATGGAAATTTTCGCGCTCCACGGATAACTGAGTTTTCCACATGATCCGCAGAATTCACGAGAACTGTAGAGAAAGAGCGTAAAACGGAACGCCCTTTCTCAGTTTTCTCGAAACCGGTACAAAACATGCCATCAAATGTGGGACTGCAGCGACTCAGAGGCGCGTGCACTAGGATACGGTAACGTATGCAAAAGGGCCAAAATTTTCTGAAGAATTTCTGATGTACGATATCCTATTACACCATTTTCTTGAACTAACCTGTGACATAGCTATACATGTGGCTTGTTGGATAGTTGCCAATGTAAAATGCAATTTTTATCCGACCATCATAAAGCTCGACAGAAATAAAGCTGTCATCTCCATAGTAAGCTATCAAGCCGCTTCTAAAACAATAGAAGTCGATAGAGAATAATTGAGAAATTGCAGAACTTACTCATTGCTTGTTCTGATTGTAAAAGTAAGGTTCCCCTGCTCAATGGCCCATGGCTCAAGTGCCACATAAGCAGAGGGATAGTGAAGGCCTATAGATCGTATCCGGTCACATTTGTCTCCAGCATAACCCTCGTGACATCTGCATTCATATTCGCTCATATTTTCATTGGTGTAGCATGAACCCTGCAAAAATTATTTTCAGAAAAAATTGAAATTTATTTCAACATAAAAAACTCACATGACCGCACAACAGACTATGACACTGAGCTGTGTTTGGGTAAAGAGCATTCACCATAGGCGGAATTTCACAAAATTGGCCAGAAAATCCCATAACACATTGGCAAGAGTATGTTGTTATCCCGTCCTGGAA